TATTTACTAGTTAACGACAATTCTGTATACTATTTACTACTTAACGACAGTTCTATACACTATTTACTACTTAACGACAGTTTTATACACTATTTACTAGTTAACGACAATTCTGTATACTGTTTACTAGTTAACGACAATTGTATACACTATTTACTAGTTAACGGCAGTTCTATACACTATTTACTAGTTAACGACAATTCTGTATACTATTTACTAGTTAACGACAATACTGTATACTGTTTACTACTTAACGACAATTGTATACACTATTTACTACTTAACGACAATACTATACACTATTTACTACATAACGACAGTTCTATACACTATTTACTAGTTAACGACAATTGTATACACTATTTACTACTTAACGACAATTCTGTATACTGTTTACTAGTTAACGACAATTGTATACACTATTTACTACTTAACGACAATACTATACACTATTTACTACATTACATAACGACAGTTCTATACACTATTTACTACTTAACGACATATACACTATTTACTAGTTAACGACAATTGTATACACTATTTACTACTTAACGACAGTTCTATACACTATTTACTAGTTAACGACAATTATGTATACTGTTTACTAGTTAACGACAATTGTATACACTATTTACTACTTAACGACAGTTCTATACACTATTTACTACTTAACGACAATTCTGTATACTCTTTACTAGTTACCGACAATTCTGTACACTATTTACTACTTAACGACAATTGTATACACTATTTACTATTTAACGACAATTGTATACACTATTTACTACTTAACGACAATTGTATACACTATTTACTAGTTAACGACAATACTATACACTATTTACTATTTAACGACAATTGTATACACTATTTACTACTTAACGACAATTCTGTATACTGTTTACTAGTTAACGACAATTCTGTATACTGTTTACTAGTTAACGACAATTCTATATACTATTTTTCTTAGCAGAGACTTATTTCTCAGCTCGATAAAAAAAAAAGAACTTGAAAAAGAAAATGTTATCATTGTTAGGTTCTACAGTGGGTCAGCGGCAAGTCTATGGATTTACAACACTAAAAATAGGGGTTCGATTCCCGTCGTTAGACATAGCAGATAGGCTCAGTGTGTCTTTGGTATAACTAGTAACACGCGCATTATTGTTAGTTTGAAAATATAATATGTTTATTTAAGTAGTTATTTTATTTAAAAATAACTGAATAAAACATTTTGTATACGGTCACTAAAGTTCATCTAAATTCTAAATCGTTAAAACGTATTTTATATATGTTCACTGAATAAAGTCCGTATAAATTCTAAGTTGTTAAAACACATTTTATATATATGATCACTGAAGTTCTTATAGATTCTAACTCGTTAAAACACGTGTCGTATGCTTCACGCTGTTGAAGTATTTGTATTCCTTAAGAAATCGTATCGATAGTATCACTTACATGTTATGTACCCTTTGCCCTTTTGACCACGTTACTCTTGTGAATGACACACCACAGTTTCGTGATGCTTAGTGTCTCTATTTTTGTTTTCCTTTTAAGTATAACCCACACATATCGTTTAAAGTGATGTGTTTACTTGTGTGAACTGCATTATGGGATTAAAACTCATACCTGCTAATAATCTAAGCAATTTTCTTTTTACGAGTTCCAGACACAGACAGATTGCATGAAGTAAGACTTTATTTCTGCAGACTCTATAATTAGTGAGAAGATACAAAGAGATAATTAGAGAGGATGTTAAACAAATGAGTTGAGAGGATGTTAAACAGATAACAAGAAAGGATTTATAAGAAATATTTAATAGGAATCTTCTACGTTGAGCTAACTAGTGAGGGTTTATATTTCAAAGATTAATAATGAAGATATAATTTCAAGACTACAGAAGAATTTTCTCGAGATATGTTCCCCATTTTAACAGTACTTTTTCACTTATGAATTTTTTTATCAGAGCATTCCAAATATATATATTGAACCAGAGGGCAGATCCAGGATTTTATTTAGGAAAAGGATGGTGGAGATTTCATTGGTCTGGGGTGTACTTCCCGGAAAACGTTTCAAAACATACGAACTGACTCAGGAAAAATGGGATGGTTAGCCGCCATGTCACACCCCTGGGTCAATCCTCGTGAACTGAAGACTGGTTTAATTGCGTTTCAGATGTTACTGTTTACTTCTGTATGTATATTTAGTACCAAATACTTATTCAAGTACAACACGTTTGTTTACTGATCTGAACGATATCTTATTCACAAGTGAAAGGACAGAGACCTATACGGTTCAGACATAGCCATACCTAATTCAGACGTACAGATCAGAGGGAAGGCAACTAGTTGGAATGACTGTCACTCTTATAATGCATCCACAGTCGAAAATGTGAAACGTGTTTCTTAGTATTACATCTTCAACATGTTTAGGCTAAGTAAATGAATATTTTTTGTTCTACGCCTGTGTTTATTTTACTTTTCGTATTGTATTCTCCTGCATTACCTTTCCGTCCAAATCTCGCAGTTACTTACTTGTGAAGCATCATTAGCCTATTAAGGATAATTGTGAAAGCTACCGAATTAACCTTTGACATAAAATTTATCTATCTCTCCTACTTATATATAAAAAGGGAATTTTGAAAGCTACCAGGCCAGCCTTTTCGATGAAAATTACATAAAAGGCAATTATGAAAACACGTGACTAACATTTAACATACTGTTCAAAATTATATTTTTAATATTTCAATTTAGATGTTTGTTTGTTAGAGGGAGCTTGTCATGACATCATGACGACGCAACATCCAGAAATTTCATGAAAGTTAAGACTTCTGTAGAATCTGGAACCTTCTTTTATTGCATAAAAAACAGACTTCGTTAATTATTGAGTTAATTAGCCATTCATTTTGGTGTCAGTGAGTAGGACAGTGAATCAGTTAGTAAGCTAAACAATGAGTCAGCAGCATATTTGCTATTCATTGATTAGCGAAGAAATTTTGGCAGTAAGTGTATTTGTAAGTTAATCGTGCATTAATTTCAGAATTTCTGGTTAAACTTTGTTTTTGAAGTTGGGCTTACCAATGAACGTAGCCCATAGTAAATGTTATTGAAGAAATAAATTAATTCGTTGACGTTACGTGGACTGTACTTTGCATTATTTTTGCCAAATAATTCTAAAGAATAGAACATATGACAACAATACAGGAGACCTAATAACAGTAATTATGGAAGCTACCAGATTACCTTTTTAGATACAAAACGTCCGAAAAAGAATAACCGTGAAAGCTTCTAGGCTGACGGTTTACATAAATAAACCTTTATAAGGGTAGTTATATGTCTCATGCTAAATATTTTAAATAAGAAAATGAAAAGTTTTTAGTATTTACAGGGTAATCAAAACACTATGTTAAAACTGTTAATTGCCTAGCCAGAAACGATCAGTTTACTCCGTTGAACAAATCATTTTAACCCAGTATTTTAAGTTAACTTATGGAATTGAGCTATCCAGACTTTCAGCTAACAAATGTTATAAGTTTTCGATACTGATTTTGAGGAAAATTGTTTCATATGTAAAACAATGCAAAGGTCACGTATTTAGCACAGAATTCTCAATATAATAACCCAATCATTTTCAATGGGTATGTATTATGAGTTATAATAATCGCTGTTACTTTTCTATTAACTATGAAATGTTCTATCAAAATCATTTTTCACGGAAAGAAACTTATAATAATGTAGAGAAGACAGATCAGCTTATATACCATTTGTACTTAGGCTTTTTGTCTTTCTCCATGAAAATTTTCAACAAAGATTGGTGCACTACCAAGAAGTGATTACTAACCAAACTGGTTTTTATTTACAGAGCCACTGTACAAGGATATTTTCGTAATTTTATGTTGATCAACTACAGCAAGATATAGAAATACAGAGCACAGAGTGTTTAGCGTCTACGTTTCCCAAAGCAACTTACTTGTTCCATTTCTTGCAAAAATGGGGGAAGGTGGGTGTTGTTGAATGCTTTGATTGCTTGTTTGTTTGTTTTTGAATTTCGCGCAAAGCGACACGAGGGCTATCTGCGCCAGCCGTCCCTAATTTTGCAGTGCAAGACTAGAGGGAAGGCAGCTAGTCATCACCACCCACCGCCAACTCTTGGGCTACTCTTTTACCAACGAATAGTGGGATTGACCGTCACATTATAACGCCCTCACGGCTGAAAGGGCGAGCATGTTTGGTGGGACGGGGATTCGAATCCACGACCCACAGATTGCGAGTCGAGCACCCTAACCACCTGGCCATGGCTTTGATTGCAAATTTACGAAGATTTTGTTTCTGCTTCGAATAAATGAATAGAAGCTTCATAATTACCGTTTCACCAAACTTACACCATAAGAGAATTTTGTAGAGTTACAAATAAGAAAATTGTGTTTTGTATTTCTTACTTTACAGCTGTTAGAAATTGTATTAACTTCTGTGGACCCAGTGGTTTGCGGAGCTAAGGTTCCGAGGTAGATGTCTCGTTACCAAAAGAAGAAAAAAAAATCCCTCTATTCTCTCTGACAAGAGTTGGCGGTATTGACTACCCGCCTTCTCTCTAATGTATCTCCTCGAAATTAAGGATGGCTAGCGCAGTTAATCCTCGTGTAGCTTTGCGCAAAATCCAACAAAACAAACAAATGTATTTATCTCATTATACTTACACTTTTATAAAGCACCAATTAAATAACATCTTATTGATTTTGCGTTATGGTATAGCCCACTTTACATTCCAAACCTATCCTAATATAATATTTCATTGTAAGTACTATACATCATGTTCATAGTTGGAAGATAAAGCTATACTAAATATACATAAAATTTGTTTCTTTTAAGGCAAAGCCACATTGTGTCCATCGTGAGAAATCGAACCCCGGATTTTAGCGTTGTAAGTCCGAAAACTTAGTGCCGCCCCAATGGGGAACTGTGTTTATATATATAAAGCTCTTCTTATTGTACATTACCGCTAGATGTCACACTTCATACAATTTTAAAATGGCGGCTGTTGGTGTAAGACTTCGCAAGTTACGAATGGTGTCTGCGATTATTTGTGTTCTAGGGCTTATATTATCTTTTTATGCCTATTATGTTGAAATGGAAAAAGAGCACAACAAGAACTACAAAGCTCTTTGTGACATTAGCGATCATATGAGCTGTTCTACCGTGTTCACGTCCAAGTAAGAAAATTTGAAAAGTATCGTAAATTTTTAATAATAATATACACTATGTCAACAATAGTGAATATAAAGTTTCTACTATTACTAACCTCTTGGTAGTAGTAGTCTACATTAGATTTGGTATAAGTACTGTATGAAAAAATATTATTTATGTTTATTGCAGTTTTAGCTTTCTGCGTAAACTGTCATACTGATGGTTCTGTGTGATTACATCGTTACTACTAGTAGTAACCCTGGAAAAGCCAATACGTTAGAGTAGAATAAACATCACACAATGCGTCTCTTAAAATAACACAAAACTTTGTTGTAAACCTTTCTAATTGTATACTTTGTCTTATGAAACCAGATTTCAAAATGTTTTTATTAAGATTTCTTCTAATTCTACAAATTAAATTCTCGGGCTTTCGAGTTCAAATAACGAAATTAGGATAGAGATGAAGGGAAGTTAGAGAATGTAAGTCCGAAACTCGTTAATAATCTTGCAAAATAACAACAGAAAAAAGTTGAGTTTGATTTAGGTTTTGACCATTAGCGCATATTGTAACTTTAAGAAATGACATTCAACATAAAAAAATTGGACTTTGTTAATATAAAAGAGCCATAGTAAAGGAATTTTTTAATGTATTTTAATACCAAGAATTATAAATTAGTGCACATGGGGTTTAGAATTAAAAAAAAACAAAACGTTTGTTTGTTTGTTGTTAAGCACAAAGCTACACAAAGGACTATCTGTGTTGTGCCCACCATAGATATCAAAACAGTTTTTAACTTTAAAAAATATATTACCATTTTTTTTATGTCAAAAATATTAGTGTTTAGGAGAAAGAATTACTTAGATACATTTATTGAGTAAAGCTCAATACCTTTAGCCAACACTTTTAATTTTTGGGGAACAAAAGGTTATTTTCTCCTTGTGTACAACAGTGATGACGCCTTTTTTTTTTTACAATAGTGATAACTTTCCTCCTTATTGTTAGAAATTATTATGATATGGTGGCAAAAGATTAAATAAAGACTATTTAATGATACCTGATTTGAGAAGTTTGAGCAACAAATACAGGCTTAAAGACGTTGTGTTTTTTCTGTAGTGTAGAAAAACTAGAGGCAACTAAACTAAGTGTATTTGAATCTTGGAAAAAAAGTTGAAAGTATAGTTTTAAATATTTGGGCTGATGAGAACAAGCTCTGGAAATCTGGATCTAAATTTGTTTTTTAGACATTAAAAATATATATCTGGAGGTTATACTTGTGAAATGGTACACAAGATTTTGGATACATTCTGGATCTAAAAAGACTACATGTATCTAAGTTCTTGATCTCGGGGGGGGTTGCTGTTCGAGAAGTGAAAGGGTGACATTTATAGACAGTGTGACTTTCTATATATACATCCATTGATTTTTATGTGTACATTGGATATGAAGGTTAGTTTAAGCAAGCCAATATACATTTCAGTCACCAATCAAATTAAAACACTTGAAAATTATTTAATGTTTTATGGAATTAGCTGGCTAGTAGCAGTTTGGCTAAATACAATTGGATAAAAATATTGGCCTTTTGAATAGTTCACATTTAGCTTAAACTAATGAAAAGTAAACTGTTTTTTGATTCATATGGAATTATTTAAAATTCAGTTGACATTTTATTTTGTAGAAGTAGAGAGATATTCCATGCTACATTTCTGTATCTTCCTTTTGTCACTAAAATGAACTGCAGTGTAACTCATGAAAAAACACATTTTTATTCAAAATATTTAACTGTTTAGTAGACACCAGTCACAAACAGCAAAAAATACATATTTTTTTAAAAATGATATAGATTATAATCCTTTGGTTATGAACTTATGAGTGATAGTAATTACGACTTTCTATGATTTGTAATTTCATAAATGTGATTATTTGTAGGTATGGAAGAGGATTTGGTCTGCTTAGTTATATTGTTGGGAGTGACTCACAGTTAAATATTCCAAACAGTCTTTTTGGTATTGTATTCTACATACTCCAGATGGCACTAGGTAGAAAACTTTCTGTAATTCCCTATTTACTTGTTTATTTGAAAATGCTAAAACATCATAATTGTTGTATTCTTAGCAATATGAATACTGTTTTTCAGAAGATTCTTAATTGTAATATGAAATATCATGTTTAGAACAAGATTAAAAGTTTTTTTATTGCAGATAATTATTAGTTTAGAAGAAGTATTCGTTTATATTGTCATAGTGTTTTTTGATGGACATCTTGTACTTAATATATTTGAATTTTATTCTTCCAGTATTTTATATAAAAATATTCTGTATTGTGGATTAAACAAATTTAGTTTAATTGGTAACTGTCAAACATTTTCTGCTTTTGATATTATTAAACAAAATCCAGTCTTTAATCAGTAATGCTACATTTGAAACTGTTTAGGTTGTATCTTGTTGTCATTATAGGCTGTAATGTTACTTCTGTACTCATTCCTAATGCACTATTTCTTTTTCATTTAGGTCAAAGTACTAACCCATTCCTGACAAAAGTTGAGATATCCTCAGCTTTTGTTTCTAACCTAGGATCCCTGTATCTGGCTTATATCTTATACTTCATTCTGCATGACTTCTGTGTACTGTGTGTTTCTACTTATGTGGTCAATGCACTGCTTCTTGCATGTGCTTGTTACAAACTAGGAAAACTACAAGCAGTCAGACTAAAACAGGAGAAAAAAGAAGAGTGACCCCCCCACCCCCCAAAAAAATCATGTAATTCATTTTCGTGAATATAAGATTCTGTGTGCTCATGTATATGAATGGTAACTTTATTGTGAAAATGTTTGTGATTTATTTTCTGTAAAAGCATTCATATTGTAACAAAGTATCAATGTATTTTCTTATACACAATAAAGTGAGAGCATTCAAAAAATATGAGGCAGTGAGTCTTTACACTTTCCTTTATACATCTACAGAGAAGATACAGATAACTGCTACAGATGTGGTTCTGTGGATGAGTTTGCCAACTAAACCAGTGAAGACACAGAAAACTGCTACAGATGTGGTTCTGTGGATGAGTTTGTCAAGTAAACCAGTCAAGACACAGAGAACTGCTACAGATGTGGTTCTATGTGGATGAGCTTCTCAAGTAAAGCAGTTATATTAAGTATACCCAATTTATGAATAACATGCTCATACTATAGATACATAGATTCATAACTTCTAACTACTAGTTTATTAAGTTCCATCACCTGTCTATCTATGTAACTGTGCAAGTAAACTTGTAATTATTAATCAAGATTTGTCTGTAAAAATCTGCTCGTAAGTTGTTACTTTAGTAGTCTTGAAACAGATTCACAATGATCACAGGATGACACATGATTACCTCGATATATAAACATGTTATATACAGTGATATACCTACAATTCTTGTGATTCTTCATACTGGAAGGCCTATCATCAAGGCAAGTCATCAATGAAATTTGACAGATCACGATAATGTAAATGAAAGAACTCTGAAGATACATATTAAGACTGACTTCTACCAAGTCCTTTTACTGAGTAACTAAAGGTATTTTGTTAGTTCTTCAGTCCTCATAACGAGTTGTATTCACAGAGTCAAATATTTTTTCTCACATTATTGTTAGGCTGTGATGATCTCAAACTTTTCATTACAATCCCTGATCTGCATCACACATGGAATCACATAGGAATGAGTCACACATCTCACAATAACTATTCAGAGACCTGTTTTAGTCTTCTTTTTCCGTGGTTTAAGAGCAGGTATGGGAGCCAACTTGAAGGCAGTCCTGAAAAACAATCACCATTATTAAAATATCTCTTATCAAAACATTTCCAGTACGAGTTAAGTGTGTGTGTGTTTTTCCACATGTATAGTTAACACAATGAATCATAAAAATGTATCTATGGCTCAAACAATTAACACATGAACTAATTTAACTTATCATAACATTAAGATGTTGTGTTACATTCTATCTTCTGTTTATGTTTAAAATTACTTTCAAATTATAGTACCATACTGAAGCACTAGTCACACTTCAGATTCTAGTACCATACTAAAGTAATAGTCACACTTCAGATTATAGTACCATACTGAAGTAATAGTCACACTTCATATTATAGTACCATACAAAACTACTGGTCACACTTCAAATTATAGTACCATACTGAAGTAATAGTCACACTTCAAATTATAGTACCATACTGAAGCACTAGTCACACTTCAGATTATAGTACCATACTGAAGTACTAGTCACACTTCAGATTATAGTACCATACTGAAGTAATAGTCACACTTCAGATTATAGTACCATACTGAAGTAATAGTCACACTTCAGATTATAGTACCATACTGAAGTAATAGTCACACTTCAGATTATAGTACCATACTGAAGTACTAGTCACACTACAGATTATAGTACCATACTGAAGTACTAGTCACACTACAGACCAGTGTACCATACTGAAGTACTAGTCACACTACAGACTAGTGTACCATACTGAAGTACTAGTCACACTTCAGATTATAGTACCATATGAAAGTACTAGTCACACTTCAGATTATAGTACCATACTGAAGTACTAGTCACACTACACACCAGTGTACCATACTGAAGTACTAGTCACACTCCAGACTAGTGTACCATACTGAAGTACTAGTCACACTACAGACTAGTGTACCATACTGAAGTACTAGTCACACTCCAGACTAATGTACCATACTGAAGTACTAGTCACATTCCAGACTAGTGTACCATACTGAAGTAATAGTCACACTTCAGATTATAGTACCATATGAAAGTAATAAGTCACACTTCAGATTATAATACCATATGAAAGTAATAGTCACACTTCATATTATAGTACCATACAAAACTACTGGTCACACTACAGACTAGTGTACCATACTGAAGTACTAGTCACACTTCAAATTATAGTACCATACAAAACTTCTGGTCACACTACAGACTAGTGTACCATACGAAAGTACTAGTCACACTCCAGACTAGTGTATCATACTGAGGTACTAGTCACACTTCAGATTAATGTTCCATACTGAAGTAATAGTCACACTTCAGATTAGTGTATCATACTGAAGTAATAGTCACACTTCAGATTAGTGTATCATACTGAAGTAATAGTCACACTTCAGATTATAGTACCATATGAAAGTACTAGTCACACTCCAGACTAGTGCACTATACTGAAGTAATGGTGACACTTCAGATTATAGTACCATACGAAAGTACTAGTCACACTCCAGACTAG